TTACAGGTGTGCGCCACCATGCCCGGCTAATTTTTGTATTTTCAGTAGAGACAGGGTTTCACTATGTTGGCCAGGCTGGATTTGAACTCCTGACCTCAGGTGATCCACCAATTTCAGCCTCCCAAAGTGCTAGGATTATAGGCGTGAGTGCCTGGCATTATAGGCACGCCCGGCCTGAAACAGACACTTTAAAGTGGTGAACTTGATGTTATGTGAATTTTATCTTAATAAAATTAACGCTATATGCATTTTCATGCTTTAAAAATTATTATGCAGGCAGGGCATGGTGGCTCACGCCTGTAATCCCAGCACTTTGGGAGGCCGAGGCAAGCGGATCACGCACGAGGTCAGGAGATTGAGACCACCCTGGCTAACAAAGCAAAACCCCATCTCTACTAAAAATACAAAAAATTAGCTGGGCATCGTGGCAGGCGCCTGTAGTCCCAGCTACACGGGAGGCTGAGGTAGGAGAATGGCGTGAATGCGGGAGGCGGAGTTTGCAGTGAGCTGAGATACGGCCGCTGCACTCCAGCCTGGGCGACAGAGCGAGACTCTGTCTCAAAAAATCAAAACAAAACAAAACAAAACAAAACAAAAATAAAAAAACAAAAAAAGAAATCATACTTATAGATCAAATGATACTAATTTATAGTATTCCAAATTAAATAAATTGTTCTCTTTTGAAGTGATTTCTACTTTGTTATTTTAAATCTTCATAATTATTTACTGCTGATAATTCATATTACAATGAAAATGCATGTTATTTATACATTTATTTTTCCTCTCCTTTCTTTTTCTCTCTTCTTTTCTTCTTCTTCCTCTCCTCTTCCTGCTGTCCTCCTCCTCCTGTCCTCCTCCTCCTCTCCTCCTCCTCCTTTTCTCCTCCTCCTCCTGTCCTCCTCCACTCCTCCTCCTCTCCTCCTCCTCTCCTCCTCCTCCTTTTCTCCTCCTCCTCCTCTCCTCCTCCCCTCCTCCTCCTCTCCTCCTCCTCTCCTCCTCTTCTCCTCCTCCTCCCTTCCTCCTCTCCTCCTCTCCTCCTCTTCCCCTCCTCCTCCTCTCCTCCTCTTCTCCTCCTCCCCCCTTCCTCCTCTCCTCCTCTCCTCTTCTCCTCTTCCTCCCCTCCTCCTCCTCCCCCCTTCCTCCTCTCCTCCTCCCCTCCTCTCCTCCTCCTCCCCTCCTCCTCTCCTCCTCCTCCCCTCCCCCTCCTCCTCTCTCCTGCTTCTCCTCTCTCCCTCCTCCTCTCCTCCCTCTCCTCCTCCTCCTCTCCTCCTCCTCTCCTCCTCCTCTCCTCTCCTCCTCCTCTCCTCTCCTCTCCTCTCCTCCTCTCCCCTCCTCCCTCCTCTCCCTCCTCCCTCTCCTCTCTCCTCCCTCCTCCTCTCCCTCCTCCTCCCTCTCCCTCCTCCCCTCCTCCTTCCTCTCCCTCCTTCCCCCTTCCCTCCTCCTCCTCCTCTCCTCCTCCTCCTTTTCTCTTCCTCTCTCCTCCTCCCCTCCTTTTCTCCTCCCTCCTCTCCCTCCCTTTTCCTCCTCCCTCCTCCCTCTCCCCCACTCCTCCCCTCCTCCTCCTCCCCTCCTCCCCTCCTCCTCTCCTCCTCCTCCTCTCCTCCTCCTCTCCTCCTCTTCTTCCCCTCCTCCTCCCCTCCTCCTCCTCCTCCCCTCCTCCTCCTCTCCTCCTCCTCTCTCCCTCCTCTCCCTCCCCTTCCCTCCTCCTCCTCTCCCCCTCCCCTCCTCCTCCTCTCCTCCTTCCCTCCTCCTCCTCTCCTCCTCCTCCTTTTCTCCCTCCTCCTCCTCTCCCTCCTTTTCTCCTCCTCCTCCTCTCTTTGCTCCCTCCTCTCCCCTCCTCCTCACTCTCCTCCTCCTCTCCTCCTCCCTCCTCTCCTCCCCTCCCACTCCTCCTCCTCCTCCTCCCCTCCTCCTCCTCCTCTCCTCCTCCCCCTCTCCTCCTCCTCCCCTCCTCCTCTCCCCCTCCTCCCCTCCTCCTCCCCTCCTCCTCCCCTCCTCCTCCTCTCCTCCCCTCCTCCTCTCCTCCTCTCCTCCTCCTCCTCTCCTCCTCCTCCTTTTCTCCTCCTCCTCCTCTCCTCCTTTTCTCCTCCTCCTCCTCTCCTCCTCCCTCTCCTCCCCCTCCTCTCCTCCTCCTCCTCCTCCCTCCCTCTCCTCCCACCTCCTCTCCTCCTCCACCTCTCCTCCTCCACCTCTCCTCCTCCTCCTCCTCCTCCTCCTCCCCCTCCTCCTCCCTCCTCCTCCTCCCCTTCCTCCTCCTCCCCTCCCTCCTCCTCCCCCTCCTCCTCCTCCCCCTCCTCCTCCTCCTCCTCCCTCTCCTCCTCCTCCCCCTCCTCCTCCTCTCCTCCTCCTCCCTCCTCCTCCCCTCCTCCTCCTCCCTCCTCTCCCTCCTCCTCTCCTCCCCTCCTCCTCCTCCTCTCCTCCTCCTCCCCTCTTCCTCCTCTCCTCCTCCTCCCCCTCCCACTCCTCCCTCCTCTCTCCTCCTCCTCTCCTCTCCTCCTCCTCTCCTCTCCCTCCTCCTCTCCCTCCCTCTCCTCCTCCTCCTCTCCCCTCCCCTCCCCTCCTCCCACCTCCCTCTCCTCCTCCTCTCCTCCTCCTCCTCCTCTCCTCCTCCTCTCCTCCCCTCCCTCCTCTCTCCTCCCCTCCTCCCTCTCCCTCCCTTCCCCCTTCCTCCTCCTCCTCCTCTCCTCCTCCTCCTTTTCTCTTCCTCTCCTCCTCCTCCTTTTCTCCTCCCTCCTCCTCTCTCCTGTTCTCCTCCTCCTCCTTTTCTCCTCCTCCTCCTCTCCTCCTTCTTCTCCTCCTCCTCCTCTCCTCCCTCCCCTCCTCTCTTCCTCCTCCCCCTCCTCCTCTCCTCCTCCTCCCCTCCTCTCCCTCTCCTCTTCTCCTCCTCCCCTCCTCCTCTCTCCTCTTCTCCTCCTCCCCTCCTCCCTCCTCCTCCTCCTCCCCCCTCCTCCCCTCTCTCCTCCTCCCCCTCCTCCTCTCCTCCTCCTCCTCTCCTCCTCCTCCTCCCCTCTCCCTCCTCCTCCCCTCCTCCTCTCCCTCCCCTCTCCCTCCCTCCTCCCCTCCCTCCTCCCACTCCTCCTCCTCCGCTCCTCCTCCTCCCCTCACTCCCTCCCCTCCTGCTCCCCCTCCTCCTCCCCCTCCCTCCTCCCACTCCTCCTCCTCCGCTCCTCCTCCTCCCCTCCTCCTCTCCTCCTCCTCCTCTCCTCCTCCTCCTCTCCTCCTCCCACCTCTCTCCTCCCACCTCTCCTCCTCCTCCTCTCTCCTCCCCTCCCTCTCCTCCTCCTCTCCTCCTCTCCTCCCCCTCCCCTCTCCTCCTCCTCTCCTCCCTCCTCCCTCCTCCTCTCCTCCTCCTCCTCTCCTCCTCCTCCTCTCCTCCCCCTCCCACCTCTCCTCCTCCTCTCTCTCTCCCTCCTCCTCCTCCTCCCCTCCTCCTCCCCTCCTCCTCCTCCCCTCCTCCTCTCCTCCTCCTCCCCCTCTCCTCCTCCTCTCCTCCTCCTCTCCTCCTCCTCCCCTCCTTCTCCCCTCCTCCTCCTCTCCTCCTCCTCCTCTCCTCCTCCACCTCTCCTCCTCCCCCTCTCCTCCTCCTCCTCTCCTCCTCCTCTCCCCCTCCTCTCCTCTTCCTCCCCTCCTCCTCCCCTCTCCCCTCCTCCTCCCCTCCTCCTCCCCTCCCTCCTCCCACCCCTCTCCCTCCTCCTCCTCTCCCTCCTCCTCCTCCTCTCCTCCTCTTCTTCTCCTCCTCCTCCTCCCCTCCTCCTCCTCTCTCCCCCTCCTCCTCCTCTCCTCCTCCTCTCCTCCCTCCCTCTCCCTCCCCTTCCCTCCCTCCTCCTCTCTCCTCCCCCTCCCTCCTCCCTCTCCTCCTTCCCTCCTCCCCTCCTCTCCTCCTCCTCTTCTCCTCCTCCTCTCCTCCTTTTCTCCTCCTCCTCCTCCTCTCCTCCTCCCCTCCTCTCCTCCTCCTCCTCTCCTCCTCCCACCTCTCCTCCTCCTCCCACTCCTCCCCCCTCCTCCCCTCCTCCTCCTCTCCTCCTCCTCTCCTCCTCCTCCTCTCCTTCTCCCCTCCTCCTCCTCTCCTCCTTCCCTCCTCCTCCTCTCCTCCTCCTCCTCTCCTCCTCCTCCTCCTCTCCTCCTCCTCCTCCTCTCCCCTCCTCTTCTTCTCCTCCTCCTCCCTCCTCCTCCTCTCCTCTCTCTCTCCTCCTCCTCTCCCTCCCCTCCTCCTCTCCTCCTCCTCCCCTCTTCCTCCTCTCCTCCTCCTCCTCTCCTCCTCCTCCTCTCCCTCCTCCTCCCCTCCTCCTCCCCTCTCCTCCCTCCTCTCCCCTCCCTCCCCTCCTCCTCTCCTCCTCCTCCTCTCCTCCTCCCCTCCTCCTCTCCTCCTCCTCCTCTCCTCTTCCTCCTCTCCTCCTTTTCTCCTCCTCCTCCTCTCCTCTTTCGCCCTGTTCCTCCTCTTCTCCTCCTCTCCTCCTCCTGCCCTCCTCCTCCTTTTTCTTCTTCTAGTTCTTCCTCCTTCTCCTTCTCCTCCTCCTCCTCCCCCTCCTCCTTCTCCTCCTCCTCCTCCTCCCTTTTCTTCTTCTTCTTCTTCCTCTTCCTCTTCTTCCTCTTCTCCTTTTTCCTCCTCCTCCTCCTTCTTCTCCTCCTCGTCCTCCTCTTCACTGTTTTGAGAGGTGTCTTGCCCTGTAAGCCAGGCTGGAGTACAGTGATGCAATCATAGTTCACTGCAGACTCAACCTCCTGGGCTCAAGCGATCCTTTCACCTCAGCCCCCCAACTAGCTGGGACCACAGGTGTGCCATCACATCTGTCTAATTTAAAAGATCTTTTTTTTTTGTAGAGATTGAGTATTGCCATCTTACCCAGGCTGGCATGCATTTCTTTTTCATTTTTTATTTTACTTTGTTGATGAGAGAAACACTGACAGACAGGTGTGGTCACTTGGCTCTGGTGGGACCGGGAAAGGAATGAGACAGAAAGCATGCAGAGCTGGAGTCTGGGGCAGACCCAGGGACGTACCTGTGCCTGCAGGATAACTGAAGTTCAAGAGCCCAATGGGAAGGTTCTTGCTCAGGCCTCTGAGGACATTCTCTAGGCCATCCAGCAGGTGCGTGGCCACACAGTGCTGCTGAAAGCGGGGCAGGGTCTCCAGGTCCCCGGGGGCCTCCAGCAGCTCATCCAGTCCCTTTAAGATGCTCTGGAGGGATGGGGACACACACCTAGTGAGCCATGGGCCAGAGGGGCTGCATGAACACTCTAACCACTCAGCCCCAGGGAACAGATCCTAGAGACTGTCTGTCTATCTGGGGGATAAAGATGGCATTGGCGGCTGGGCACGGTGGCTCACGCCTGTAATTCCAGCACTTTGGGAGGCCGAGGCGGGTGGGTCACAAGGTCAGGAGATCAAGACCATCCTGGCTAACACAGTGAAACCCCGTCTCTACTAAAAATACAAAAATTAGCCGGGCGTGGTGGCATGTGCCTGTAATCCCAGCTACTCAGGAGGCTGAGGGAGGAGAATCACTTGAAGCCGGGCGGCAGAGATTGCAGTGAGCTGAGATTGGGCCACTAAACTCTGGACTGGCGACAGAGTGAAACTCTGTCTTTAAAAAAAAAAAAAAAAAAAGACATTGGATGGGATTCCCTAGGTGATCCTTGACCCTGGTGTGTGGCCCCTCAGAGGCCCACACTTCTCTGCAATATCAACGCTGACCTAAACCCAAAGTCCAGGGGAAGCAAGAGCAAAGACATTAAGCGCACTTGGGTGTCCAATAGCTTCCACCAGCCCTGAAAGATGCCAGGAGTCAGACCAGGACCCACAGCATTGGGGCCTGTCCCCTCCCAGGTCAAAACTGCCCCAGGCCTCAGTGGGATGCAGCCACCTTCCTTCCCCTCCCGCTTGCCCTGGCTCCTGCCCTTACCTGGATGGTGACCTTGGCTGAGCTTGTCTTGAAGTCTCTGCCCAGGTCCTGGACTTTGTTGAAGAATTGGGAAAGCGTCTGCAGAGACAGATGTGGGGGTCAGAGAGCCTGGACGGTGGGTGGGAAGCTTAGGACAAGGAGACAGATGTGGTGCTGTGTGGATGGAGTTCCTGCCACCTCGTCCCTGCGGGGGCCACTCACCTGGCTGTGGACTCCAGGGGGCGGGGTCCAGGTGAGGAAATTCATCTCTGCAGGGAACAAGACAAGTGGCTCATTAGGCGGGAGAGTGTCTGTGTGTGTGTTGGGGGTTGGGGAGCTTCTAGGGTCAGGTCGTACCTTCACACACAGTGTCCTTTAGGTTATTCGGGATTCCGTGTTTGGGCTCCCAGCCTGGGCGGCAGCGGCAGGTGTATGAACCCACGGTGTTAAAGCAGATGGTGGAATTGTCACACTGATGCAGACCGGAGCTGCACTCGTCCACATCTGAGGACAGGAAGAAGGGGGTCAGGCCCTGTCCGAGCCCAGAGAGGGTCCTGTCTCCTGTCTGTGCCCCCAGCTCGTTCCTCCTGGCATTAGTGCCCCCCGTGGAGTGGCGGACGCTGGGTTATGGAAGCATGGAGAGGCCTGGGCACAGCAGGTGTGCCCCGTGCAGATATGCAGGTTACGAATATGGTGAAACGTGTTCCTCCCAGTGAGTCATCAGCTGTTGCCTGGGGTCCCCCTGAGCCTCCCCCCTCAGTACCCCAGCTCCTTCCCGGGGAGCCCTGCTCTTTTCTAGCCTCAGAAGAACGAGCGCCTGGCACAGCCGGGCGCCTCCAGCGTTCATTCCGCTTGGTTTGTGGGGTGCCGTTGAACATGTGATCAGATGTTTGTGGGTCTCTGGGAACGTGGGATCTGAGCTCTCGACCTTCACAGACGGTATTGTTTGGGCCACTGGGGGACCCCGGAATCGGTTGCCAGCCCAGGCGGCAGCGGCACTGATAGCTGCCCACGTTGTTGAGGCAGTGGGTGGAGCTGTGGCATGGGTTTTGTCCGGAGGTGCATTCATTCACATCTGAGGACAAAGCCAGAGGGTCAAACCCTGTCCCTGACCAGCCCAGGCCTGCCCTCCACTCACTGCACCCACTTCCCTGTCTTTTCATTGCCCCGGACTGAAGACCATTACTGCACGTGTCGCCACCTGGTGACCTTCAGCTTCACCTTCAAAGCATCTTATGATGGTCTTCTACCAGAAGGGCACAGCAGGGACCATGGTCCCCAGTTTATAGGAGGTGAAAGCAAAAGGGAAACTGAGTCATGGGAGCCAGACTTCCATGACTAAAAACTAAAACCTCTCATCTGCTCCCTCCTTGGTCATGGTGGAGGTTCCCCTTCTCAAAACTGGAAGTGACACCTTCTTCCACTCACACGTGACAGATGAGGAAGGGGTGAGGTCTGGGGGCCCACAGGGCACTCCGAGCCCCAGAGGCCCTGCCGCCTCCCTGCTGTGGCGGGACCTTCCTAGGAGGTGAATCCTTAGGCAGGGGCTTAGCAGGTCCTTGACCTTGTGGGAACCTGCGGATCTTCTCCCTCCTCCTCGGCTGCTTTGCAGGACCTGCCTCGGCTCCATCCCCAGCTCCCGTCCAGCCTCACAGCATCTTCCCGGGGCCTCTACCTGTGCAGAGCTTCGGGTCCTCAGGTTTGAACTTGAAGCCAGGCAGACACTGGCAGGTGTAGCTGCCGGCGGTGTTGACGCAGGTGCCGTAGCTTTTACAGAGCCTTGGGTTCCGCTGACATTCGTCCACGTCTGCAAGAGGAAGGAGAGGGTGAAGGATGCCCGTAGCAGTGAGCAGCTTTTGGGGCTGAGGGTCTGCCATGTTTCCCGGCACGGAAGCATCTGGAAGGCACCACTGTCTCCCCTCTTTTCTTTTCTTTCTTGTTTGTTTTTTTTTTTTTAAGTCTTGCTCTGTCCCCCAGGTTGGAGTGCAGTTGCATGATCTCAGTTCACTGCAACCTCCGCCGCCTCCCGGGTTCCCGCCATTCCCCTGCCTCAGCCTCCTGAGTAGTTGGGACTACAGGCGCCCGCCACCACGCCCGGCTAATCTTTTTTTTTTGTTGTTGTATTTTTTAGTAAAGACAAGGTTTCACTGTGTTAGCCAGGATCTTGATCTTCTGACCTTGTGATCTGCCCACCTCGGCTTCCCAAAGTGTTGGGATTACAGGGTGAGCCACCGTGCCTGGCCCGGAGAGGACTTTTTCTAATTCTCAGGAAGGCTCTGTCCTTTGGTCAAGACATGTGCATGCAACGGTCCCCTGTGCTGCTGGTTCAGGGGTCCCCTGTGAACCAGCAGCACTGTATATGGAGCCCTCCTGCTGGGCTCTCTGCAGGTGCCTGTCCTCAGAACGTACACCTCTGCTCTGTCCTCACTTTCCTCCCACCAGGGAGGCTCTACTGCCTGCAGGGAGGACAGGAGGGACAGGGCTGGGACCAGGAGCACTGCCACTTTTCTCTTTACAGCAGGGCAGGTCTGCTGAACCCCCTTAATGTCCCCTGGGACCCTTGGCTCAGCCTCAGCCTCTTCACTTCCTGCCTTTGCTCACCTTCCCTTCCCACTCTGTGTACTCTGTATGAACCTCCCTTCTCTGCCCACCTGCTACTGGTTCCCTTCTGGCCTCGCAGATGCCTGAAACTCCCTGCCCTGCCCAACTAGCTCCCACTGGAAAGAAGGCAAAGCGGAGTGGTGCATGGGGGCCTGGCTTCTCCTGGGCTGGAGCTGCAGTGTGGGATAAGAACATGGCAAGGGATGAAGCAGGCTGTGTCGAAATAGATTCATTCTGAGTGCCACCCAGGAGTGTGGCCCCACAGAAGCCCAGCTTGTCTGAACAACTCCTAAGAAGCATCAATTGCATAATAATTTATTTGTGTATTTTTTTAGATGGAGTCTTGCTCTGTCGCCAGGCTGGGATGCAGTGGCACGATCTCGGCTCACTGCAACCTCCAACTCCCTGGTTCAAGTGATTCTCCTGCCTCAGCCTCCTGAGTAGCCGAGATTACAGGCACCCACCACTGCGCCCGGCTAATTTTTGCATTTTTAGTAGAGACAGGGTTTCACCATGTTGGCTAGGATGGTGTTGATCTCCTGACCCCATGATTCGTCTGCCTCGGCCTCCCAAAGTGCTGGGATTACGACGCATAATAATGTTTAAAGAACGAAGATGCCTATAGCACCTGCTGTGTGCTGGGCTCTGTTAGAAGCACCTATTCTTTCCTTGATCCTCCCAGAAGACATACGAGTAGCCACCATTATTGTCATCTTCATTTAATAGAGGCTCTAAGAGCAGTAGTGATGTTGGTAATATCATTAGGTAACAGGTGGCAAAGCCTGGATTTGGGTCCAGGTAGCTGGTCCCAGAGGTTTCCCTTGGCCCGCACACCACGCTGCCTCTCTGGGCTGGCGAAACAGGTACATGTACACCTGTCTCATCTCAGACTCCAGGAACTGAACCTACACTTGGGCACCTGCTCCCTGATGCTGCAGAAACAGCTCTGGTGACCCCGAACCTCATGGAGAGTGGTGATGGAGGATGTGGGGTGGTTCTTACCTTGACACGTGTTCTCGCTCTCATTCTTGAATGTTTTTGCCCCAGAAACAAGCTCATACCCTGGGTTGCACACGCAGTCGTAGCTCCCCTCTATGTTCCTGCAGTCTGAGAATTTTCCGCAAGACACTTCCGACGGTGGCGCACACTCATTGATGTCTGGAACACAACAGGACAGGGAGTCACCTCCCAAAGATGTGAGTTCTGTCAGGGCAGAGACCCCCGTCCTGACTCCCCAACATGGGGCCTGCTGCTTAGTATCTTTTGGAAAGAATCCTAAGTTGCAGTGCACAGGTTGTGCTGCAGCTGGAGCAAGCCATTCCTGAAGACCACACTTGATCTCAGTTCTCTGGCTGGCATCCTAGATTTGGACACAGTGAACAGAGCTGAGGTGGGGGATGAACAAGAAGCTCCACATCCCTCTCCTCAGACTTTTTGTAGAAATTTAAACCCCATGGTGACTGGGTGCAGTGGCTCACACCTTAATCCCAGCACTTTGGGAGGCTGAGGGCAGCAGATCACCGGAGGTCAGGAATTCGAGACCAGCCTGCCCAACATGGTGAAACCCCATCTCTACTAAAAATACAAAAATTAGCCGGGCGTGGTGGTGCATGCCTGTAATCCCAGCTACTCAGCAGGCTGAGGCAGGAGAATCGCTTAAACCTGGAAGGTGGAGGTTGCAGTGAGCCGAGATTGGGCCACTGCACTCCCCACCCTGGGCAACAGAGTAAGACTCCATCTCAAAAAAAAAAAAAAGAAAGAAAAATAAGGGAGAAAAAAACCATGGCCAGAATGTACCTCCTCCCCAGTCTTAAGGGTAAACTGAGGCACAGACTCCAGATTCCTGAGCACCCAGCTTCTCTCTCTCCAGGAAGCCGTGCCTATTCACTTCTTACCTCTCCCCCTTCATATTTTTTCCTTCCTTCCTTCCTTCCTTCCCTCCTTCCTTCCTTTCTTCCCTCCTTCCTTCCTTCCTTCCTCCCTCACTCCCTCCCTCCTTCCCTCCCTCCCTCCTTTCCTTTTCTATTTCTTTCTCTCTCCCTCCTTTCCTTTTCTATTTCTTTCCCTCCATCCCTCTCTCTCTTTTTCTTTTCTTCTCTTTTCTTTCTCTCCTTCTCTCTTTCTGTCTCTCCTTTTTTTCTTTTTTTGAGATGGAGTCTTGCTCTTGTCGCCCAGATTGGAGTGCAGTGGCATGATCTCGGCTCACTGCAAACTCCGTCTCCCAGGTTCAAGTGATTCTCCTGCCTCAGGCTCCCGAGTAGCTGGGATTACAGGGGACCACCACCACACCAGGCTAATTTTTTGTGTTTTTAGTATAGAGACAGGGTTTCACCATATTGGCCAGGTTGGTCTGGAACTCCTGACCTCAAGTGATCCGCCCACCGTGGCCTCCCAAAATGGTGGAATTACAGGTGTGAGCCACCACGCCCGGCCTCTTTCTTTGTTTCTTCCTTTTCCCTGAGACAAGATCTCATTCTGTTGCCCAGGCTAGAGTGCAGTGGTGCAATCATAGCTCACTGTAGCCTCAAACCCCTGGGCTCAAACAATCCTCCCGCCTCAGTCTTCTGAGTAGCTGGGACTCCAGGTGTGTGCCACCATGCCCGGCTATTTTGTGTATTTTTTGTAGAGGCAGGGTCTCTTCATGTTGCCCAGGCTGGTCTTGAACTCCTGACCTCAAGTGATCCGCCCGCCTCAGCCTCCCAAAGTGCTGGGATTACAGGTGTGAGCCACCACGCCTGCCCTCTTTGTCTTTTCTCTGTCCATGATGATAGTCTGGAAGGTGAGGCTGTGGCCCCTAACAACAACCTCTGTCCCCACTGGCACCGGGCAAAGCCTCATAATCTCAGATGTACCCTGCGCTGCCCTCAAGCCTCTGTACCGTCACAAATCTCCGTGGGGGAGGTGAAGATCTCAGATGAAGAGTTGAACCCTGGATTGCAGCGACAGGCGGTGGCGTTGACACACGAGGAGTTCTCAGGGCACCACCGGGCACAGTCTGCAAGAGCAGGGAGCACGGTCAGAAGGTGAGGGGCAAGGGGACACACAAAAAGGGGGCACTGAGGGAGGTGGGGCAGGGCGCTGAGTTTCCCGTGCACGAGGCCTCTCTTTCCCTGGGCTGAAGGGGGCTGGGCGGGGGTCCAGGGCCCTCCCCAGACTCTGGCTGTGGACTGTGCTTTCTGCTTCCCAGCAGACTCACCCCTGAAGTCCTGTGTTTCAGCTCCCAGCAGAATCAGCCAGACACAGAATGCTGCAACAGAGAAAGGAAAGGGGGTCAGAGGGAATCCCAGGGTGGGAAAGGAGGCATAAAGGTGATGCATTTTGGGGGAGGAGGATGCTGACCCCTCTCAGGCTGAGATCCTGCCCATCGTTCAAACAGAGTGGGCAGATGTCATGTCCCACTCGGATGCTCAAAGCCAAAGAGTCTGTCAGCCTGTCCCCATAGGGGTGGGTTTTGTTTTGTTTTGTTTGACACAGGGTCTCACTTGGTCACCCAGCCTGGGGTGCAGTGGTGCAATCATAGCTCACTGCAGCCTCCGATTCCTGGACTCAAGCGATCCTCCTGCCTCAGCCTCCCGAGTACCTGGGACCACAGGTGTTCACCACCCTATTTTAATCTTTCTTTCTTTCTTTCTTTCTTTCTTCTTTCTTTCTTTCTTTCTTTCTCTTTCTTTCTTTCTTTCTTTCTTTTCTTTCTTTCTTTCTCTCCCTTTCTTTTTCTCCCTTTCTTTCTCTCTCTCTCTCTTTCTCTCTTTCTCTCTTTCTCTCTTTCTTTCTTTCTTTCTTTTCTTTCTTTCTTTCTTTCTGACAGAGTCTTGCTCTGTCACCCAGGCTGAAGTGCAACGGTGTGATCTCAGCTAACTGCAATCTCTACCTCCTGGGTTCAAGCAATTCTCCTGCTTCCACCTCCCACATAGCTGGGATTACAGGCACCCACCACCATGCCTGGCTAATTTTTTGTATTTTTAGTAGAGATGGGATTTCACCACATTGGCCAGGCTGGTCTCGAACTCCTGACTTCAGGTGATCTGCTGGCCTTGGCCTCCCAAAGTGCTGGGATTACAGCTCAAAAATTTGAGCTCCCAGCTCAAAATTTTTAAAATTATTTATTTATTTTTATTATTTATTATTTTTTTTGAGACTGAGTCTCCCTTCGTCAGCCAGGCTGGAATGCAGTGGTAAAATCTTGGCCCACTGCAACCTCCACTTTCCAGGTTCAAGTGGTTGTACTGCCTCAGCCTCCTGAGTAGCTGGGATTACAGGCATGAGCCACCACGTCCAGCTAATTTTTGTATTTTTTAAGTAGAGATGGGGTTTCACCATGTTGGCCAGGCTGGTCTCGAACTCCTAACCTCAGGTGATCTGCCCGCCTTGACCTCTCAAAGTGCTGGGATTACAGGCATGAGCCATCACGCCTAGCCAAAAAAATTAAAAATAATTTTAAAAATTATTTTAGAGAGAGAGTCTTGCTTGTTGCCCAGACTGATCTTGAACTCCTGGCCTCAAGCGATCCTCCCGCCTCAGCCTCCTGAGCTCAGCTTAGGGGTGGAGTTTCAGGAACTGAGAAGTAGGGAAGGACCATGAGCCTGGTTGGGGTTCCAGCTCCAGCTGCCGCTCTTCTGACTTGGGGGAGTCTGGTGTGCCTGAGCATTTACTGCCATCTTCATTTCTTTAGGTAAAAATGAAGGCATGGTCGGGCACGGTGGCTCAGGCCTGTAATCCCAGCACTTTGGGAGGCCGAGGTGGGCAGATCACCTGAGGTCGGGAGTTCGAGACCAGCCTGCCCAATATGGTGAAACCCCATCTCTACTAAAAATACAAAACATTAGCTGGGCATGGTGGCAGGCTCTTGTTACCCAACTACTTGGGAGATGGAGGCAGGAGAATCGCTTGAACCCGGGAGGCAGAAGTTGCAGCAAGCTGAGATTACTCCACTGCACTCCAGCCTGTGACAGAGCAAGACTCCATCTCAGAAAAAAAAAAAAAAAATGACAGTGCTGGATCCCCCAGGCTCTAAGATGCCCTGGACCCACATGCTTCCTCAGGGACACAGGTGCACACACGCCACAATCACAACCGCCACCAGCCCTGGCGGCCCATCCTTAAGCCCAGTGGTGATATTTCACCCCCTGGGCGCCCCTCCCACAGGAAAACGCTGTGACCGCCTGTTGGGGTGCATGTGGAGCTGCAGTGCCCAGCGCTCAGGGGGTTCCCCTTCCCAAGGCATGTCCTGGGGGACTCCCCCTCAAATCATCAACGGCTTTAGAGATGGAGACCTAGGGATCTCCTTGCTGTTCACCAGAGAGAGAGACAGACAGGCAAAGAGGCAGAGGTGGAGAGAAAACAGAGATTAGAGAGATAGACTGAAAGAGAGACAGAAGAAGAGAGAGACAGAGAGAGAGAGAAAGAGAGACAGAAGAAGAGAGAGACAGAGAGAGAGAAAGAGAGGGAGAAGCTGGGGTACCTGCAGTGGGGAAGTCCTGGCTTCTATTTTCCCCGCCTCCCCCCTCTCCCGCCCCGCCCATGTCTTTCTATGCGCTATATTAAGAGCAGTGGCTCTGGGGTCCCAGCACTCACTTTTTGCCCCTTTCCTTCCCCCGTGCCTCAGTTTCCCCTCTTAGGGAGCAGATGCCAAATTGGCTCCAGTAGAAAGCTTGAGGATACCTCCGGCAGAGTAGCAGGCTCCGAGCGCACCCTAGAGTTCCTGCCGGAGTGTGGGGGTGTCCAAGCACAACCAGCCCCTCTCCCCATGTGCCGAGAGTGCCTGCTTGACCATGCGGCTTCCTCCATCGCAGGCCCCACAGCCACCAGCGGCGCCTCCCGTTTCTCAGACGCAGCCAACGGTACCGCTGGAGCTTCCTCGCCCCTCCCAGCGGGGCCCCGAAGTACTTACCGAGAAAGACGCGGCCTCCCATGGTTCGAGCTGCCGGCAGGAGCGGTAGGGGAAAGAGTGAGTGGGACAGGTCTGTCCTGTCTCCCCAGGCTGGGCAGCTGTGCGGACTGTCCTGAGGCCAGGACTTTATGAAGGAGGTGGGGACTGACAGCCGCAGGCCCAGGACCCTCCCCGGAACTGGCGGTGCAGCTGGAAACCAGCAGGAAAGTGCAATAAAAACACAGACCCAGGGGCGCTGCAAACACACACACACACACACAGACACACACACAGACACACACACACAGACACACACACAGACACACACAGACACACACACACAGACACAGACACACAGACACACACAGACACACACGCACAGACACACACGCACAGACACACACACGTGCACTAGTTCAGCAAGAATGAAGTGCAACCTGCTTTAGAAAACCCTCTACTGGAGTTTCCACCATGTGGCTCTGACGAACCCTCTGGCCTCTGGGTGTTTGGGGCTGGCTGCTCTGGAGGGGAAGGTGTGACAGCCGGGCGGGCTGGTCTCACCCAGGGCCACTTGGCTCTTCCCTGGGCAGGCACGCAGGGGCCTTGTCAGAAATAGCTGTGGGCTCCCACTTTGGTGGGGCTCGCCCTGTGCCCAGAGCTTTGGCATGCCAGAGTTGGCAGAGCCTGCACTCCAGCTGGCTGTATCTTCCCCTGCTGTTTTCCAGATGAGGAAACTGAGGCCAGGTGCAGAGGCTCACACCTGTGATCCCAGCATTCTGGGAGGCTGAGGCAAGAGGATCGCTTGAGCTCAGGAGTTTGAGACCAGCCTGGGCAACGCGGTGAAGCTCTGTTTCTTTTTTTTTTTTAAATTAATTAATTAGTTAATTAATTTGTTTAGACTTTAAGTTCTAGGGTACATGAGCACAACGTGCAGGTTTGCTACATAGGTATACGTGTGCCATGTTGGTGTGCTGCACCCATCAACTTGTTATTTACATTAGGCATTTCTCCTAATGCTGTCCCTCTCCCCTTCTCCCCACCCCATCACAGGCCCTGGTGTGTGATGTTCCCTGCCCTGTGTCCAAGTTTTCTAATTGTTCAATTCCCACCTATGAATGAGAACATGCGGTATTTGGTCTTCTGTTTCTGTGTTAGTTTGCGGAGAAGGATGGTTTCCAGCTTTATCCATGTCATCCCCAGTCCTAGAATTTACCCCTTCCTGTCCTGGGCTCCTGTGGGGGTGGCCACGGGCTGTGAGGGAGGGGAATGAACATCAGCAGAAGCTGAAGGAGAGAGGGCAGACCAGCTCTGGAGGGATTTTGCCTTTTTTTTCCTCAGAAAGCCAGAAACTCCAGCTAGAACCCCAGGGCTCAACGTCCCTTCTCTGCAGATCAGACGGGTAGGTCAGACAGCTGGCGTCTGCAGAATCTCAGGGAGGCAGGAGGCGCTTCCTGATGCCAGGGGTTGTCCCTACACCCCTTCATAGAGATCATCGACACTTTTTAATTTTATTTTATTTTACTTTATTTTAGAGACAGAGTCTGCTGTTGCCCAGGCCGGAGTGCAAGAGCGCCATCTCAGCTCACTGCAACCTCCGCCTCCCGGGTTCAAGCAATTCTCCTGCCTCAGCCTCCCAAGTACCTGGGACTACAGGTGCCCGCCACCACACCTGGCTAATTTTTGTATTTTTATTTTATTTTATTATAGAGTTATTCATTCATTTATTTATTTTGACTCCTGGGTTCAAGCGATTCTCCTGCCTCAGCCTCCCAATTAGCTGGAATTACAGGTGCAAGCCACCATGCCTGGCTGATTTTTGTATTTTTAGTAGAGACAGAGTTTCGCTATGTTGGTCAGGCTGGTCTCAAACTTCTGGCCTCAAGTGATCTGCAAGCCTTGGTGTCCCAAAAGTGCTGGGATTAGAGGCTTGAGCCACCATACCCGGCCTGAAACATCCTTTTTAAAATTTTTATTTTATTTATTTTTATTATTTATTATTATTTTTTTTTCCTGAGACAGAGTCTTGCTCTGTCACCCAGGCTGGAGTACAGTGATGCTATCTCGTCTCACTGCAACCTCTGCCTCCTGGGTTCAAGCAATTCTCCTGTCTCAGCCTCCCTAGTAGCTGGGATTATTGGCACATGCCACCGCATCTAGCTAATTTTTGCATTTTTAGTAGAGACGGGGTTTCATCATGTTGGCCAGGCTGGTCTTGAACTCCTGAACTTGTGATCCATCCGCCTCAGACTCCCAAAGTCCTGGGATTACAGGCATGAGCCACTGTGCCTGACCCTGAAACACTCTTACCCTGAATAACCTCAGGGTTCGCTCCCTTCTGTCTTCAGCTTTTGGCTGAAACATATTTTGACCTACAGGCCTCATCCAAAATGTAAACCCCTCCCATCCTCAGCACTCCAAAACCAGTCCTGGCTTTTTTTTTTTTCTTTTTTTCAGATGAAGTCTCACTCTGTCACCTAGGTTGCTGGACTGCAGTGGTGTGATCTCAGCTCACTGCAAGCTCTGCCTCCCAGGTTCAAGTGATTCTTCCGCCTCAGCCTCCCAAGTAGCTGGGATTACAGGCATGCAACCACCATGCTTTGTATATTTAGTAGAGACAGAGTTTCACCATGTTGGCCAGGCTGGTCTACGAACTCCTGTCCTCAAATGATCCACCCGCCTCAGCCTCCCAACGTGCTGGGATTACAGGCGTGAGTCACCATGCCCCGAGACTTTCTTTTTTTTTTTTTTTTTTTTGAGGCGGAGTCTCGCTCTGTCGCGAGTCTCGCTCTGTCGCCCAGGCTGGAGTGCAGTGGCCGGATCTCAGTTCACTGCAAGCTCCGCCTCCCGGGTTTACGCCATTCTCCTGCCTCAGCCTCCCGAGTAGCTGGGACTACAGGCGCCCGCCACCTCGCCCGGCTAGTTTTTTGTATTTTTTTTTTTAGTAGAGACGGGGTTTCACCGTGTTTGCCAGGATGGTCTCGATCTCCTGACCTCGTGATCCGCCCGTCTCGGCCTCCCAAAGTGCTGGGATTACAGGCTTGAGCCACCGCGCCCGGCCGCCCCGAGGCTTTCTTGAGTCTCTCCGGTACTTCTCACCATCTCTCTTCTTCCCTTGCAACCATCTGCCCTCGAGCCGCATTAGGCTCTCAGCCCTCTGAGTGACTTTTGTCTTGTTCTCTGCAGAGCACGAGCACAGAGCCTGTACTGAGTGGAGCCCCATATGGTAAACCATGCAAGTTAGTACTCCTGCCACTCCACTGCCGCCCAGCTAAGGGAAGCCTCCTTCAGCCTTGCTGATCCGGTCCCTGCCAGGGTGTCTGCCTATGTTTCTCCACTTTCTCTTCATCCTGAAGTCTCAGTCCGGCTGACTTATTTTGCAGCTTCTGGACAACCTCATGACTTTTGTTCTGCAATGATGGGGGGCGGGAACGTGGTCCTCATTTGTCAAAAGGGGAACTGGCATCTGGGGGTTTCGGGCCACTGGCCCCAGGTTGCTCAACTCAGAGGTAACCGAAGATTGCCTGTAATCCCAGCTACTTGGGAGGCCGAGGCAGGAGAATTGCTTGAGTCCAGGAGATGTAGTTTGCAGTGAGCTGAGATCGCGTCATTGCACTCCAGCCTGGGCGATAGAGCGAGACTCCGTTTCAAAAAAAAAAAGAATCAACCCAAGATTTTCCAAGCAATAATAATAATGGTATTATTAATTATATTAGTATAATTTATTATTATTATAATTATTTTAGAGACGGGGTCTCTGTTACCCAGGCTGGAGCACAGTGGCACAGTTATGGCTTAAGGCAGCCTGCACATCCTGGGCTCATGAGATCCTCCTGCCTCAGCCTCCCGAGTAGCTGGGACTACAGGCACATGCTGCCATGCCTGGCTAATTTTTTACTTTTTTTTTTTTTTTGGCAAGGGGGATAGAATCTTGCTCTGTAGCTGGGATTACAGGCACATGCCACCACACCCAGCTAATTTTTGTACTTTTAGTAAAGATGGGGTTTCACCACGTTCACCACGTTGGCCAGGCTGGTCTCGATCTCCTGACCCTTAAGTGAACCGCCCACCTCAGCCTCCCAAAATGCTGGGATTACAGGTACACACCACCATGCCCGGCCACACCCCTTTCTGAATGAAGTCGGGTGGGGTGGGGGTGGGGGGGGGGAAGTCTTAAATAGCAGTGAGACAGATTCCGTAGTAGAATCTTGAGCAGAAAAAGTCTGCAAAGCCCCACAGGAAAAAGCCACCTTGCGAAAAAGCTCAGATACAAAGATAATAAAATGAGATTTGGTTTCAGGATACAAACATACGCAAGAAGACTTTGAAAGATAAACAAAGCAGCCAGGTGCGGTGGCTCACGCTTGTAATTCCACCACTTTGAGAGGCCGAGGCGGGCGGATCACCTGAGGTCAGGAGTTCAAGACCAGCCTGGCCAATATGGCGAAACCCGGTCTCTCCTAAAAGTACAAAAATTAGCTGGGTGTGGTGATTGCATGCCTGTAATCCCAGCTACTTGGGAGGCTGAAGCAGGAGAATTGCTTGAACCTGGAAGGCAGAGGTTGCAGTGAGCTGAGATTGCACCACTGTGCTCCAGCCTGAGAGACAAGAGCGAGACTCAGTCTAAATAAAATAAAACAAAATAAAATTAAAAAATACATAAACAAACAAACAAACAAAAATAAACGAGGCTGGGCCAGGTGCCGTGGCTCATGCTCATAATCTCAGCTACTTGGGGATGCCAAGGCAGGAGGACCGCTTGAGCCCAGGAGTTCGAGACCTTCCTGGGCAGCATCGTGAGACCCCCATCTCTACAAAAATAAAAATAAAAAATGTGCCAGGTGTGGTGACTCGCACCTGTAGTCCCAGCTACTCAGGAGGCTGAAGTGGGAGGGTGGCTTGAGGCCAGGAATTTGAGGCGGCAGTGAGCTGTGTGTGATCATGCCACTGCACTCCAGCCTGGGTGACAGAGCAAGACCCTGTCTCAAAAATAAATAAAGTAAAAAATGAGTTAACTGAGCAAAGAAATAAAGGGCAAAGAATATTCGGGGTGGTGGTAATCAGCAAGATAAAGATGGGAGCATGGGGACAAGGTCATGTCTCATTTCTTGCTGTTGAAGGAGGCTTGTGTATGTGCCTTCCTTCCCTTTTATTTTTAAATTTACTTATTTTTTTTGCAAAGCAAAATTCTTTATTCCCGCAAACTGTGAACAATTTGCATAGAAGTTTCCACATGCAAATGTTTCCTAAAATGATGGTTTTTTTTTTTTTTTTTTTTTTTGAGTCTTTTGCTCTGTCGACAGA